CCCCAAACCCCCGGCCCGGCATGTCCCGATTTTCCTGGACATGTCCAGCTTTTTATGCTTTCCCCCCGGACGGGGATTTGGAGCCCAAAAAGCCGGACATGTCCGGGAAAATCCGGACGTATGGTAACCCTAGAAAAGCTATTATCAAGTTGGGGGAGTTTAGTGTCTATGTTCACCCAGATTAGGTGCAATAAATGCCTAACCATGATTAAATGGATTATTAGATGCATTCATTAATGCCACTAATTTATTTTATGTAACTTGTTAGTATATTTCATTGTATGGGAAACCTTACAGCCAAATAAATTTACAGCCAAATTCAGCCAAATAAATTTAACAATGTACTGTCTTCTTTTTTTAACCTTGTTTTGTAATGTGTTTTAGGCTCACTGGTGGGCAGTATTGCTTATGGGAATTGCTCTGATCATGTTAATGGCTGGATTCATTAAAATATGCAGTGTTCATACTCCGAGCAGTAATCCAAAGTTGCCTCCTCCTAAACCACTCCCAGGTAAGTACATCCAAGTGATTAAGACAACAGAGAAGTAAGAAGGTAGAGCCTTTATTTTCAACTATATGCCTTGCCCTTTTCAAGTGTTGAGAAACTGTAGCGCTAAAGTTCTATAGTTCATAGTCTGGCACTGTGAAACTACAAGATTATGTGTGTTGTTTTTTTTGTGCCAGTATAACCCCATAGAATTATTTCTCAAATCTGGTCTACTGTGTAGACAGAGATAAAATTACATCTCACTTCCTCCTAGTCAAAATAGGGACTATAAACATATAGAATATGTGGAAAGTATAGCAGTAGTTGTTGCAATTACTAATGTAGGCTTCCTTTTACGCCTTCTCCCTACACCTCATTTCTGTCAGAAAATCGTACATAGCAGTTTATTTACAATATATTACATGTTCACACCATGTAGTTGTCTGTTAAAACTTTTCTTATTGCAATTTTAAATACTGTGCTTTTCACAAAGCATGAAAATATCCCTTCATATTTAATTTGCCTACCCAGAATTGTACTTCATTTTATTGGCAGGCATTCTTTTAAAAATGCATTCTTTTATTTATTTTTTTCCCTAACAACTTATGTTTTTTTCTCTGTTTACAACAGGCACTTTAAAGAGGAGGAGACCACCACAAACGACTCAACCACCACCACGTCAGAGACCCCGGGAGAGTTATCAGATGGGACACATGAGACGTTAACTACAGATTTTTGCCTTGGTTCTTCCTAGTGCCTACAATGGGAAAACTTCACTCCAAAGAAAACCTATTAAGTCACTGTCCCCAGTCCAACTCTCAAACAAAAATAGAAGAAAAAAAAGGCAAGATGTTATGTCCTCAAACAAGTGGAGGAGTTTAATTTTTAATTATTGGACCTTCCAGAGAGAGAAGTGATTTTCTTACAGATATTTTTAACCTAATGGCACAAAAGTCTTAGATTATCATGTTTTTTTCCCCTTTTCTGCTCTTCATTGCTGCATTTTCTTCACTTGCAGGCAAACATGGCTCTAGTAAAACTTTTATTCACAAATTGAAAATATATCTGTATATATTTTTCAACTGCCAATCAAGGTTAGGAAGCTAGATCACCTCAACATTGGAGACATAACCTGCCAATGTATATAAATTGTTATATGCAGACATGTATTTCTAATGTACACCCGTACTTCTGTGTGCAATTGTAATCAAAATAATTGCAATATGGATGTTTCTTTGTATTATAAAACTTTTCCGCTATTAATGAAGAAATTACTGTTTAATTGACTTACTCAGGATAACAGAGGATGGAGGTGTATAATGGTCAAGGATTCTGTAATGCTTTACACAGCAGTTTTGAATCAATTCAAACTTTTTTTATTAGGATCAGAGTTGGTTCAAGTACTCATTTCATCTTTTATCAAACAGCTGCTAAGACATAGCACACAAGTTTGAATGCTCTTTTTGGAATACATGCAACAAGTGTGCAAACTTCGCATATGCCAGAATGTTTCAAAATTACATTTTATATAAATGTCTGATTTCTTGTAGTTCAGCATAAGTATTTTTAATTTTCGTCTGATTATTCTGTTAAATAATGAAGAGTTGGATGAAATATTTCCATGCTTTAGTAGAGAAATATGCCTGTTATACAATTTGTTTTAAGGACTGCAACCGGTTTATTTGGGTTGTTCAGATATTCGTAGTGTGGTAATTACGTTCATGATTCTGAAGAAATGGGAAGGATGAAAAGCTGTAGTTTCTATTTTTTAATTTATCAAATATTTAGATAACTTTCCAGCATGATACTGTTAATGAATAACCACTAAAATACAGTAATATTCCAGCTACTGTAGCTGACTTAAAGTTGTAGTTAAGCCAACTGATTTTCCCTTAAATATTTTATAACAGTAGTGAAGTTCAAACAGCACAATGTCCCATTCCAAAGTTTGTAGTACGAATGTAAATAATTGGCATTTTTTTAAAAAGAAAAAACAAAAGCATTTATTGTCTTAACATGCTTACTGCTATGCAGAAATGAAAGGGGCATTACAAAAGTTTAAGCTCGTGACATATTTATTGCTTGTTTTCCAAAAGCTGCAAGCTAATTAGAAGCAAATGGCTATAATTTTCCTGGCTTTGCTTAGGAGAAAATTTATTAAGGGTTGGACAGGTCTTTCTTTTTTCTTTTTCTTTTTTTTTTTAAGTAGTATAAAGTTTACACAATCATTCTCATAATGTGACGCAAGCCAGCAAGGCCAAAAATATTACAGAATATAATGGGATCTCTTCCTTGTAAACTTGTACAGTATGTGGTGACTTTTTTCAAAATACAGCTTTTTGTACATGGTTTAGAGACAAATTTTGTACATGAAACCCCATAGACTATAAATAATTCCAAACAATCTTAATAAGTTAGAAATGTATGTAGTTGCTTTTAAATCATTTTAAATACATTTGTTTTCAGACCGTGCAAAGACTGGAAGTGGGTTTGCATTTCTAAAATGGTGACTTTAATTCAGCAAGAGTTCTTAGTAACTTCTTGAGTGTGATAACCTTTGGGGCATGTAAATTTTTTGCTCGTAGTGTTATCCTGTGGTGGGGTTTCAGCAGATACATGCTGCCCTATTTTATTTTAAGTCTAAGTTAAATGTTTTCTGAAAAGAGAAATGTGCACTGAACTCTCCACTGCAAGTCAAAATGTGGTAAAACAAAAGAGATCAAGACAAATGAGATCTAATACTACTGTCAATTTAATGTCCACTGTGTTTTATACAGTATCTTTTTTTGTTCACTTTGGAAATTTTTACTAAAATTGCAAAAAATAAAGTATTGTGCAAAGATATGTACGTTTTTTTTGAAACTTGAAATGCATTAATAAATAGACTTGATGAAATTATTTTGAAGGTTCGCTTGCTTTTTAAACTCAAAGCAAAAGGAGTATACAAATGCTGCTTCCTCCTACTTTTTCTGTCTTTCACCACAGATATCATTATAACAAGAATAACTGCATTATGAATGCACCAGAAAGTGTTATCCACATCTCCCAATTTGAGCTTCATTCAGTAAATAGAATAAAATTTGTCTGTGAAAACACTCTTTTTAAGATAAAACTCTAAAATTATCTTTATTCTGTTTCTTATTTCTGATCAAAGTATTTTAAACTCCTTCTCTGCTGTTATGTTTAAAAATTAAGCTAATAACTGCGAAGGTGTATAAGGTAGATCTTTAGTTGGTTTGATCTTGTGAAAAATAAATTCACTTTCTGACACATTTTATCTGACAATTAATATAAAATTCACTGAAGATAACTAATGAATAAGTTTTCAAAACATGCTATGCAAATCTGATTTTTACTGTTTGTTAAAACTGTCAATATAGATAGCTTTTAATTTTTAGTGAACAGACCTTTGAAAATTGATTTTTTTTTTTAACTGCTTGGACTAAGATTTATATTAAAAGGCCTGCCAGCCACATCTTTCATTCAGAAGTTGTGTGGTGTAAGGAATATATGCTTGAAGCTTTTCTTTCCCTAACTGAGCAATTGAACTGAGGAATTCCTGAGCATGCTTTGATGTATTGTTTTCATGATTTTGACATCACTGCTTGCTCTTAGAATTAAATTGTACAGTTGGGTGCAAAAAGAATTATTAGATTATCAGTGGGAGCTCTGCACCTCTGGAAGCCAGATAACCTTTTCAGGTGCCTAAATAGGGATTTAGATGCCTAACTGTGAACTGAAATTGGGGGAAAATGACTTATAAGCACTTAAAAACATGGTTCCTGATTTCTTTTAAATTAGTCCTTGTAGACCCTATACGTGTGTAAATGGCTTTATTTTGGTAACTCATCTGATTTCCCCAGGATATATCTGCTAATTGAATTCAGTTGTCTTCATAAACGTTTTTATCCATTAAACCGCTTTTTTCCTTTAGGGAGGATGTGCAGCCAGCATGGTGTGAATGTCCGAAAGAAGGTCTTCGTGTGATTCCCTTTAACATGACGTTTTATCTAGTCAATCAAAGCAGCAAAGACTATAAATCAGTGGCTCAGTCTCACTTTTTCATTACTGTTTCCCACCTCACATAAAGAAAGCAGAGGGGAGAGTTACTAATTTTGAAGAAAGGTGAATAGAACTAGGAAACATTAGTTCACATAAGGTAATTAAAAGCACTAGCTTTTGTATATCTAAGGTTGCTTTGATGCTGAGGCTTCAGCAGCCTCTGTACAGATCTTGATATTTATTATCCAAATATTTCATACTTGGTTTTCCTAAAGTTAGGCCCTAAATTTACATTTAGGCACTCGAAGAAGTGGCCTGATTTTTAAAGGTATTGTGCACCCATAGGTCCCTGAAAATAGGCCACTATTTAGGTGTAAATGAGGATTTAGGGTGTCTAACTTTTTACAAAAACAAGTTTGAAAATGTTGGCCCATGCACATAGATATCTTGGACACTAAACCTAAAATCAGCTGTTATAATCTGTTCTCCATTATGGTGATTTTTGTGGCAGATTTGTTAAGTTTTCATATGGATGCCTTTCATCATATGAAGTAGCAAAAGGGTGCCTGTGACTTCAGCCTTTAAGAGGAATTGTACTTGGGTTCTAGCCTTGGCCCTTGCTCTAAAAGCAAGATCAGTTCAGTATCCTCTGAACACAAACATTCTTCCAGCCTTCAAGAAAACTACAAGGAATACTGGATGTCTTTATCATAACTTTCTAGTTTGATAGAAGCAAGTCCTTAAAAAATGGATATGAGGCACATCATGTTGCAGAGACAGAATGGAAGGCAGAGTACAATCCAACACTGCCAGCATCATAGTTTAGAAGGTAGAAACCATAATTTTCATATCTTGACGCAACAGTAGCACAACAGCAGAATCAGACTCTCCCAGTCACAGAAAACTATAAATTGCTGAATTTTGAAGATAATCTAGGGAGATTTACAGTTTAAATTGATCAAAAAAACCACTCTTTATCCTGTCCTGGACTTGAAAAAAATCCAGTCAAGGTGAACTAAATGAACTTGGCTATACAATATGATGGCCACAGACCATTTGCCCCTTCAACACTTCTTTAGCATATATTCAGTTTTACTTTTCTTAAAAAAAAAAAAAAGAGGGGTTGGGGAGCGGGAGAAGGCATCGACAGTTGTGGGACCTCTAGCCCCTCAGAGAAAAGTTTGTAAAGATGTACACTTCTAGATGGAGACACTAGCATCTGTTGTCTAAGTGAATGCAAGACCTCTCTATAAGGCGTACACATCCAAATTTGTCCTTCATTATAAATTCCTAAGATTTATCTGTTGAAACAGATCCATGGACTATTTGCGTGGTCTACATACCCCAGACTGTTCACAAGTTAATATAGGGTTTATGATACTGGAAGGAAGGGAATTAACATTTTCCTGTCAATGGTCATGTCATGGTCAAAGCACTGTCGGAGCAAGAGGTGGATTTAACTTATCATATAGATATGTCAGAAGTGGAGGTACACAATTTTCTTTTTTTTTTTTAAGCCACATTGTTTCCATCAGAGAGCTAATTCACCTAGGAAACCAGATAGCCACAAGTATCAGAAGAACCTTTTTATTCTAAGATGGAATACACAAGCTTTGGGTTATAAGAAAAGTAACAATTGTCTGTCTGGAGATTCAACTGCTTGTAAGCCTGTTTGGATGATGTACACTATGTGCAGCGAGCCAAATTTCATGTGTAAACTCTCCCCTGGTTTTCCCTTGGTTACATGGGATCACATTTGAAAGGTCCAGAGAGTCCTGCTTCCTAGAAGTATAAAAGCTCTCACAGGTGGTGGATAATCATATATCATCCTTCACTTTTTGAAGGAGAGCATGCTGGAGTGGGAAGTCTCAATACAAGGTACTTGGGGTAAAATTTTCATAAGTGCTTAAATCCCATTTTCAAAAGTAACTGAGGGCTTGTGTACCCCTTGGGATTATGTGCACTACAGGGGTGTGATTTCTAAAGCACTTTCATGCACTGGCTGGTCTGTGTAGACTGCTGGTGTACACTGAAAGTTCCATAGCACTATGTTAAAGTGTACTAAGGAACCTTCAGTGTGCACCAGCAGGGTCTACATGGACCAGTTAGTGCAAGACACATTAGCGTGCTTTAGAAATCACACCTCCATGGGGTGCAGTGTAGACAAGCCTTTAGGCACTTAGAAGCCTAAATATCATGGAAAGTCAGTGGTTAAGTTCCTGACTTGGAAACATTCAGCCAAAAAGTTGGTGTCTGCTGTTCAAGAGTGATGGACATTCAGGCCTTATTAGTTGATCCACTCTCCCAAGATTTGCCCACATGGATCTTTCATACACTTTCCCACCAGCTTTTTTCTTGTACAGAATGCTTCAAAAGGTCCAATAAGTAGGGCCCTACCAAATTCATGGGCCATTTTGGTCAATTTCACAGTCAGGATTTTAAAAATAGTAAATTTCATTATTTCAGATATTTAAATCTGAAATTTCACAGTATTATAACTGTAGGGGTCCTGACCCAAAAAGGGTTTGTGGGGTGATTGCAAGGTTATTGTGTGGGGGGGAGGGTATTGCCATGGTATTGCCACCCCTACTTCTGCACTGCTGTTGGCAGTGGTGCTGCATTTAGAGCTGGGCAACTAGAAAGTGGTGGCTGCTGGCTGGGAGTCCAGCTCTGAAGGCACCGCCGCCACCAGCCACAGCGCAGAAGTAAGGCTGGCATGGTATGGTATTGCTACCCTTACTTCTGCACTGCTGCTGGCAGGATGCTGCCTGGGGCTGGGCACCTGGCCAGCAGCTGCCACTCTCTGGCCACCCAGCTCTGAAGGCAGCACAGAAGTAAGGGTGGCAATACCACAATCCCCCTACAATAACCTTGCAAACCCTGCTCCCTGCAGCTGCCTTTTGGGTCAGGACCCCCAATTTGAGAAATGCTGGTCTTCCCTATGGTATCTGTATGGTATAGGGTGAAAGTACACAAAAGACCAGATTTCACGGGGGAGACCAGCTGTGAATTTGGTAGGGCCCTACCAATAAGTGAGAGCTTGAGTTAATATCTGAGTAGTGCCCCATTGGCTTTGGTGCTTGACCACAGAATTGGCAATTGATCCTTCATTACACCTATGTCTGGGCAGACCCCGTTGCCTTAAGATTCTTTTTATCATGGCACACCAGGCATGATTTATTTAATATGGCCTTTGAGTGTGGTCTTCAGGGATTTTGACTGACCATAGCCTGCCAGGGCCTGGAGGAAATTCAGGCACAGCCATAAGGATAATGAACAAGTATCAAGCGTAGGCTGAATTTTAGATTGTCAGATCTCTGCAGACCCAGATACTGGCACTGAGAAACATCTTAGTGCCAGGAGCTGAACAAAGTCTAACCTTTCCTCTTTTAGTGAGACCTATTAAAGCACAAAACTTACTGTGTCCATTGAAGATCCAAAGATTTGCTTCCTGGGGTTAGAATCTGGCCCTATCGGCATCGACCACACAGCCCTTTTCGCCAGTTTGGGCAGACTTTTTCCTTCTAATCAAGGTCTTATTCCCAGTAGTTGTTGCTTTTGCCAGATCAGCTTCTGAACTGGGTGTATTTTCAAGGAAGGCAACTGCTGTATTGTTCACCAGTTAAGTGTGCTTCAACTTATAGCCTGGCTACCGATCACCTTTTTGGTTTCTGAATTTAAGATCAGGGCTTATTTAAATGAATGGTAGCTATTTAAAAAAGCCTGAAAGTGCTAATAAGATAGAATCATAGAAATGTAGGGCTGGAAGGGACCTCAAGTCATCTAGTCTAGTCCCCTGCTCATGAACTGTCGGCAAATGTTGCCAACTCAACATTTAGTCCTGGTCTACACTACAGAGCTAAAAAAGTTGCCACAAGGCACCTTACGTTGACCTA